CAAGCACAGTGCCCATTTAAGAGCCAGGTACAGCTGCATGTCTAAAACCCAAGTGCTGCTGAGGCAGAGACGGAAGCTCACTGAAGCTCACTGGCCAGCCAGCCAAGCCAAATCACTAAGCTCAGGGTTCAGAGAGAGATTCTGTCTCAAAAAAGGAAATGGAAAGTGACTGAGGAAGACACCCACTGCAGACCTCTGGCACCCAAGCAAATGTACACACACACACGAACACACACACACACACATGAACACACACACACACACACACACACACACACACACACACACACACACACGCCACACATACATAAATAAAAATAGCCAGGGGTCCTAAGTTTAAAAGAGAAATAGAGAGACAGAGGTAATTCCTAGACTAAGAGATAGAGGCTTAGCATTTAAGTCTCAGCCATTTGTGCTTCCACTGCTGCGAACTCTCTACTAGTGCTGTCTCCCATTTTAAATTGAGTTATTTGTTTTCTTGATGTCCAGTGTTGCTCACTCTTCACATGTTTCATGTATTAACCCTCTGTTGGGTATGTGATCTTCTCCCATTTGTAGCCCGCTGCTTTGCCAGAGTGAAAGTGTCCTTGGCCATACAGAAGCTTTTCATTTTCATGAGGACCCACTTACCAATTGTTCTGAGTGCCTGTGCTGTTGGTGTTCTGTTCACAACTGGGCAATGTGCAGAGAGTGACAGACTTTGGAACAACCAGTCCTAAATAAGATATTTTCGTCAAAAGCACCAAGGCTCAGGAAGCTGTTCAAAGGAGAAAGCAGAGAGATTTCCAGAGGCGGTGGATGACTCCAAGTAAACAGTATCTTACAGACACAACAGAACTGATCCACAGATGAATTCACAGAGAGTCTGCACAGGTTAAAGCCAGATGGGGTCTCAGCGCTGAGAAGGGTAAGTGGACATGGGTTCTACTCATAACCAAGAAGCTCTTAAAGGGACCAGGGTCAGTTTTTTTTTCCCCCAGGGGCCAGTTTGCTAAGACCTCTGCCCCATATTACCCCACCATCCTAAGTTGACTCATGTCTGGCTTCAACCAGACCCTTAGGAAGTATGTCCAGTCTAGTAGCCAACCAGGGTCCTACCAAGCCACAAGCAGGAACTGTTCTTGCTATCTTCAGTCAAACAGACCCCTGACACTGCAACCACAGTTGCCGATCAGATGTCATGAGCCAATCATAAAATGATTCCTGTACCAGTAAGGGTCTATACCCAATCACTTCAAAGTACACTTAACCACAGCTGTAATTCCCCTAAATAGGCTTAAAAGGGATTGCCTTACCTTTCCCCATGGTCAACACCACTTTGGGTGGACCCCAGCATGCTGGTTTTTCTGTCTCGAGAATAAAGCTGCTTTCTGTAATTGCATATTGGATGTCTTCTGGTTATTTGGACCAATCTAAGGACCCTACCCTCTCTGTAATTGATACCCACTGACAAAGGAAAACTGAGTTTTCTCCAGTGGAATCTCACTGGCTATTTTAACTACACCTCAGAGCAGGTCCCATGGCCAACACAAAACAAATTCAATGGTAATTTTGTAGACCTTTTGTTTCATTTGGCTTTGCTTGGGTATTTTGTTTTCGTCTTATTGGTCTTTGCTTATTTCTTTTTATTTCTACTTTTGTGGTTTTGTACATTTATTTTTTCTTGTTTGTGTTGAGAGACAGATAGAGAGAGACTATAAAGTTGGGTGGGTAGGAAGGTGAGGAGGATCTTGGAGGAGGGGGAAATCATGGTTGAAATATGTTGTCTGAAAAAATTTAAGTAAAAAACAAGGTTGAGGCTGGAGATTGAGTTCAACCATGTCAATCAGTCGTACCAGCTTCAATCACTCATACTTTCTTCAGTCAATCATACTTTTTTCAGTCAGTCATACCTTCTTTAATCAGTCATACCAACACAATGAAGCCTCTGGGGAAGACTGAACACCAAGTTCCAGTGAACTTCCTAGGTAGTGGTCTACATTAACACATAATCGAAATGCACCCTCAGGACATGGGGCTTTATGTTTGGGACCCTCCAATACTTTGTCCCTATTATGTGCCTCTTCACTTGACTGGCCCTGATGCCTATCCGTTGCCATAGAAACAGAATGACAGACTGCTTTCTGGAGTTCAGCAATCTATGCTAGCGAATCAGATCTGAGGGTAGAATAGGAACTACATACTGTTGAGTGACTTGTGAGAGGAGAAAGTGGCAGGGAAAATTGCAGAGCTCTTAAAGCTGGTGTCTAAAGTGGAAAGTTCTTTTATTTTTATTAGTATATGGTCCTTGTACAATGGGTTTGTTAAGACATTTGCATGCATGTGTATCATGTACCTTAAACATACTCACTCCTCTGTTCGTCTCTCCTGTCCCCTCCTCTAAAGTGGGGAATTCTTGTGGAGGATTTCTCACAGTCTATGGAAACTAGAGTAACACTGTGTCACTAGAGTCAGGACTCCATTGTAGCTATGCCTCACGATAAAAGGCTTAGCTTCACGATAAAAGGCTGTGGGAGGCACAATTTCCTAACACAGTGGTAGAGGAGCTGCTGATATTGTTCCATGCCCAGAGAGCAGGTATTTGGGAGTCAAAACCATGATTTACAGAATTCTCAGATGGTTTCAAGGTTCCTGACCCCTTGGATACAAATGCTGTATAATTGTCTTGAAGTTTGGCAACCCAGGGTCCCCACTTATTCTTAGTTATATGCAAAATCCTTTCCAAACAAAGCAACCAGTTCTCTCTATCCTAATATCTTTCTAGCAACTCCCCTTCTGTGTTCAAACACGTCCTGAAACAAAATCTGGAACTAGAAGCAGTGAGCTGATCCAGCCTGCACAGGCAGGAAAGTAACTTGTGTCCCCAGAATGAACTTTTAGGTATAATCCCCTCTTTAACATCCTATGCCTATGCATGATTGGGCATGCATATGATTAAAATCAAAAGCATACATAGTGAATGTATAACCAAAGCCTGTAAAGGAGTTTATCAGAGGAAAAAAAAAAACACTGTTGCCCCTAGCAACCGCTTCTCCTCCTCCAGGAGCCATAAAGGAACTAAAGTTTATTTTAAAAAAATAACTTTATTAATAGATATTATTTCTACTTTAACTAATAAAGCTAATTGATGACATTTTTAAGGGGAAACAGGTCAAGTAACCCGGGGCTATCGCACAAACCTCACTCAGGGCCTACCGCTCCCTTGCTGCATATCATCTCCACACCTTCCCTATACTTATCAAACACCTTGATAATTTGCATTATTTTTTTCAAAGAATTTGAATTCTTTGATCAAGACAACAAGAATCTGAAAGCACCCCATCCGGATAGGACCATCAGCAAATACTCAGGTGTGAGGTCACACTGCGTGATGCGTTTACATGGGATTAAGATCTATGCTATACGAAGATGAGGGATTCTGTAGACATGGCCAAGATTTAAAATCAAAATAACTTTGAGTTAACCAAAGCAGAGATTGTCCTCGGCAGGCCTTTTTAAAGAAACGTATCCCTTCCTGAAGGGATAAGTTCAATGAATATAAAAGACTACGGAAGGACCCATAGGCAGGAAACTGAGAGTATCTCTAGCTGCTGAGAGGACCCCTCTCTCCAGTCCAACAGCCACAGCCCCCTTCAACTACTGCCAGAGTTGGGAAAGGGTCCCAAAAGGCCAGTGTCAAACAAAGCCTCAGCCCTTCATCAGGAGACAGTTTGGGAAGGCGCTAGTACCTTTGAGAAACAGGACCTAGTGGGAGAAAGTTGAGCTACCATGAATTTCCACTGAAGATTATGGAACTCTAGTCTTTTTGGAACTCTACCCCTTTGCTTTCTCTTTCTTCCTGGCCTTCGTGAAGTGAGGATGTTGCTCCTCCACCATGACATGTACTTCACCGTGATGCTGCTGCCCTGCACAAAGACCCAAAGTAATAAATCTAATCATACATGGATGGAAGCCGTGATAGTGGAGTCAAAAGTTGATTATCTGACATAATTACAGGTCTTCCAGATGGCTTGGTAAATTTAGCCTAGTGAGATCCTTTGGGCAGAGAGCCCAGCTAAACCAGACTCAAACTTTTAGACACTAGGAAATAATAATAAATAAATGTTGTTGCAAACCACTGAATTCTAGCAACTGTTGCTTGCCGTGGTCCTGCCCAGCCTAGGTTCAGGTCCTGAGATGGGGGAGAGGCATCGGTGTGAAGAAATGAATTGTCAGACCACCAGATGAGTTTCACACAAGTGGCCGGCCCCAAATAGCTCCAGCTGTCTTTATTTATAATTCAAAAACAAGCATGTTTTTCTCATCCTCCAACGCTAACCTCTGGCAAAAACAAGTATGTTTTCTCCCAACTGTTACATCAAAACATCTTCAAACCAGAACAGTACTTACCATTTTGCTATCTTGGCCAAATATCGAGCCAAAACTAAAAGTCTTTACAAAACTAAAAGGTGATTCACATAGGCACACATTTTCAGGAGCAACAATCTCATTCAAAACATCTTTACAGAGATAGGGGTGAGCTACCTCTGATCCTGTCAGCACTGAATCAGAACAGCTCCCAGGATCTGAAGTGACAGCAGGCATCCCCAGACAAGAAACCTGAGAAGCATCACCTCCCAAACAATTGTAAGGGAAAATATTTGAGGAAAAAAATGGGGTTTCCAGAGTGATCACATCTATCCCGTGCATGATTGACAAGACACTAAAACCACCAAGAGAATCATCAATGTTAAGAGAGAAGATAGCATGCAGGCAATGCAGTCCCAGCAGTATTCTGCACTGTCCCGAAGTCCACTGGTCCTTGCCGAGTGAGACTGTCCCCGTGGTCTTTTGCCTCATCTGGAGACCTGTTGGACAAGCACTCACAGACTGGTCCAAAACTAGGCCACATGGCTCCCAGCAGTTGCTCAACAACTGAGGACTCGTGCATGAGGGAATCTGTACTTGGGGGGAGTTACCATGGAAACAAGCCTCTGAGCATGTCTGTGAGGGACTTTCTTTATCAGGTTCATTGAGGTGGGAAGACCCACCTTGATGGTGGGCAGCACCAGTCAATGAGCTGGAGTCCTGGATTGACTTAAGAGAGTCCAGCACCAACATTCTGCTTCCTGGATGTGGAGACAATGGGACAGCTGCCTCAAGCTCTTGCCACCATGCCATCCCCACCATGAGGGACGGTGTCCTCTCCAACTGTGAGCCAGCATGGACCCTTTCTCCCATAGGCTGTTTTTGCCCGGTGCTTTGTTTCCACGATGAGACAAACAGTTGGCACAGAGGGAAAGTAGAAGGGGTTCAAATGCCAACGCGGACGAAGACGACCCAGCTATCAATCTGATTTGCTTTAGTGGAGAACTTCCAAGAGACAGACAGCACTGAGAATGTGAGACAGACATGACATCAGAATTTGAGTGGAGAATTCCTGTTTTGAATGTGCCTCTCGGAGTTCATATATTGGAAACATCATCCTCATGTTCACGTTAACACAGGAATCATCAGAGAATCCTCCCTGCCAAACACCAGTGGCCCATTCTGAGGCAAGAGATTAAGGCTTACTTGGTGTTTATAGGGATGGACCTTGGTTTGAAGACCACCCACTGAAGTCCATGTTCTTGTGTCCCAGGGCAAAGGACTGCATCAGGAATACATGTGTAAAAACAGAACTAGAGGCAATTAGTTAAGAAAAGGAAAGCACTCATGATAATGTGAGTGGGCTAGTGAGCTGGGTAGAAGGCATGCCATCAAAAAGCACTGGGTTATGGGGCTTGCTACCTTTTAGGTCATTTCTACAGCACTCTCTCGTTTCCATGGCATGAGCTTTTCTCAAGCGTGTTACATGTAGCTCTAATGAGGAAGCGTTTTCCGTCTTTCTCTCCCTGGTATATTTGAGGTGACAGGCTGGTCAGGCAATGCCTCTCCTGACAGTTGCTGTAGAGCATTTGGCAAGCCCGCTACTGAGAGCCTGCCCATGAGTCTATAAACAGACTCTTCTAGTGTCCAGATCCCAGAATGGTAGGAGCCGTTCTCACTTGCCCAAGGAAGTTTCCAGATCAGGTTGCCGGACTCCAGAATACCAGTGCAGGGGTGGGAGACGCCGGAGGCCACACATCCTACCCCTTTAGTGACTGTACCTCACCTCCATGTGACCCTCCTCTTCACCTCCCTTGTATTCCCATAGCCATACATTTGTGCCCCAGAAATCCCTCCCATTGTGCTGTGAAACCTTCCCCCTTCCTCTAGGACACTCCTCCTCCTGGGCCTGAGACTGGCCACACTGCCATTTGTCTGCTTGTCTGTATGACAATGCCATAATAACTCCCCTCAAGTTTTTACCCAAATAGACAATACATCCCCATGTCCCTCCTCACAACCTGGAAGCTCAGACCATTCACGGCCAACTGGCTTCTTTCATGTGTTGATGTTGATATTACTTTCCTCAGTCTCTGTTCTCCCTCCCTGCTGGCTGATGCCTCAGCCTGGGTTCACTTCAGATGACCCTTGCTGTGGCCATGGAATTTCCCTTTGTTCTGCCGTTCCCAGGACAACCACCATGTTCCACACGGGACTGTGAATACATGGGAAAGACTCCAGAAGATGCTTCGTGTCTTGCTGATATGCCTCCTGCCAGTGACCAGTGGGAAGAGCTGCCTCCGATGCTGGCCAGAGCTGCCCACCCTGCTGGACTACGACCTGCAGGTGCTCTGGGGCAGCCCAGGGCCACCCACAGAGCTCTCACAAAGCCTACACTCCTTTTTCCTGGAGGATAACACCTTACTCATGCCCTGGTATCTTGGTGAGGCACAGCTGGGCAGGGGTGGGAGCATCCCTTTCACCTGACCTGATCCTGTTCCCAACATCCCTCTGTCCCGTGTCCCATTCCCAGCTCAAGACCATTTGGAAGAGGAAACAGCTACTTTCTTCACCCATGTAGACCAAGCCATTAAGAAGCTGAGGGATGGTAAGGAGAACAAATGTCCAGGACCCCAGGGATTGAGTTGGGTTACCAAGACCTGACCTAAATAGCATTCCCGGGAGGCTATTGTGGTAGTGGGCAGGGAAGCTTTCTTGAAGAGCACATTGTGTCACTGTGTCTTCTATGGTGGTCCAGCCCTATAATTCTAGCACTTAGAAGATGAAGACAAGAGGACCATAAGTTCAAGACCATCTTGCTGCATAGTGATAAGTCTGGGATACATGAGACCGAGTCTGAGGGTCCAGGGAGACTGGGGAGATGGTTCAGTAGATACATCGCTAACCCACAAGCGTGAGAGTCTGAGTTCGGATCCCCAGGACCCAGCCTGGGAAAGCTGGGTGCGGTAGCACATATCTGCAATCCTGGTGCTCCTAAAGGGAGACAGGAGGTCGAGACAGAAGCTCCTGGGTCAGCTGGCTGCATATGCACAGCAGCAAACCATGAGAACCCCTGCCTCAGGAAATAAGACACCAGTGAGGACTGTCATCCAAGGTGTCCTCTGGCATCCACACGCATGCTGTGACACGCACACCTGCACTCAGAGGAACACACAGACAGATATATACTCATATGCCTCTCTCTCATCTACACACACACACACACACACACACACACACACACACACATACACTCATATACACTCACACATACACGTAGACATACATACACTCACACACACTCACACACACATATACACACTCACACACACATACACTCACATACACATACACTCACACATTTTTTTAAATAAAACCAGAGAGAAGGCTCAATCATTAAAAGGTTTGCCTTTAAGCACAAAGACCTGAATTCAATTCCCAGAACCCACATTTAAAAAAAAAATGTACAGTGGTTGTGCCTGTCAGCCCAATGCCAAGGAGGCAGAGGCAGGAGGATCGCTTGGGCTCACTTGACAGCCAGAATAGAGTTCCAAGCCAATAAGAGACCCTGTCTCAAAAATAAGGTGGGTGGTTCCTGAAGAGAAACACTCCAGGGTGACTGCCAGCTTCCACACTCACATGCATGTGTACCCGTACACATGTGCACACGTGGACAAAAGACTAATTTCATGTCAGTGAGTTTCATTCCTTTCTGCTACACCCAGATAAGTCAGCACTTCTGGAAGAGATCAATGTTCAGAAGGGTCTTCTGTCTGAGAAGCTGAAAGAGAGGTCCCAGGAGCTAAAGCAGAGGGGTAGGAGATGGGGCTGTCCCTACCCCCACCCATCACCCTTCGACCACGGACTATAGAACCCAAAGGGCAGTCCCTCCTAAGATCTCCCCAGGAGCTCTGTCCTACCCACAGGTTAGGTTCCTTCCAGGAGTCTCCTAGTCCCATGTCCTGCTCCCACTCCCCACCACTCCCAGCTCTGTCTGCCTCTCTAGTGCCTCAGTTTCTCCACCATCTCACTTTCCTGGACAGCCTGCAATGACTCCTGTGGTGAGTATACCCAGGGCTGAGCTGGAGGAAGGGACGAGAGGTCCCGCCATGTCTGAGGCTCCTGTCCACCACTCCCACAGACCTCCTGTCCCCAGTGGAAGTCGCTGTATGCGCTGACTGCCAGACGCACTTCCTGTCCTGCAATGACCCCACCTTCTGTGTAGGTCAGTGGCCTTTACCCCACTCACTGGACTATACCCCATTCATCCTTCCTTTCCCAAACCCTCCACCCCTGGGTTTTCCATCTCTGTCCGTTATTCTTTTCTATCCTAGCTAGAATGTTCCTGGATTTTCCTTTCTTGTTGGGTGAAGGACAAGAGAACCTTTGAGGATTTTTTAATGTCCTTTTGCCTGGCTTTAGAGGCTGAGAGCCACTGCTTCTGGGTCTTCAGATTCAGCATACCTGGAACACTCCCATCCCATACCACTGGCTCTGCCTTCAGGGTCCTCCTCAGTAACTGTCCTCACTGAGACCCCACAACCCTAAGCCAGGAGCTTCCTCCGACCTTCCTCCCTGTGCCTCAGCTAAGCCTGGGTGAATGACTCTTCAGTGTGTAGCTATACTTCACGCCAGTGTCCACCAGTGCCTGCCTCTCTCTCTCTCTCTCTCTCTCTCTCTCTCTCTCTCTCTCTCTCTCCTCTCTCTTCCTCTCTCTCTCACTCTCCCTTCCTCTCTCTTTCACTCTCTCTTCCTCTCTTCCCCTCTCTCTCCCTCTCTCTCTCCCTCTCTCTCTCTCTGTCTCTCTCTTCCTCTCTCCCTCTCTCTCTCCCTCTCTCTCTCTCTGTCTCTCTCTTCCTCTCTCCCTCTCTCTCTCCCTCTCTCTCTCTCTGTCCCTCTCTCTTCCTCTCTCTCTCTTCCTCTCTCTTCCTCTCCCCCTCTCCCTCCCTCTCTCTCCCTCTCTCTTTCTCTCTCTCTCTCTCTCTCTCTCTCTCTCTCTCTCTCTCTCTCTCTCTCTCTCTGTCTGCATCTGTGTGTGCATGTGTGTCTGTGTAGAGATATGTGTGTCACAGTGTGAGCATGGCAATCAGAGATCAGCCTCCAGCATCTGTCCTTGCTTGCCACCTTCTTAGAGACACAAACTCTCTTGTTCACCACTGCTCATCCAAGCCTGATGCCCCACAGTTTTGGGGATCCTCTTCTCATCCATCTCCCCCCACAGGAATGAAGAGATTTCAAACACACACACACACACACACACACACACACACACACACACACACACACACACACACACACACACACACTACTGCATTTGACTTTTACCTAGCTGCTGGGTACCTCAGCTCCAGCCTTTGGGCTTGAGTGGTGAGCATTTTGCTTGGGAACCACCTCCCTAATGCCCCGTCTTCTTTTTGAGACACAGTCTCTCATTAGCCTAAAATTCACCAAATACACTAGGCCAGCAGCCAGTGAGATTCAGGAATCTGCCTGACACCTCCTCCCCAGCTCTGCATCCCACCGGGGATGGCACTCAGGTCCTTGTGCTGACCAGACAAGCACTCACTGACTCCACCTCAAGCCCCCACCACTCCTCCTCAGGCCTCCCTCCCATCTCTCAGCTGCAGCACCCTTTACCTGCCGCTTCCTAGTCCTGCAGTCTCAGCGGCGGCCCCAGACACAGAAAGCACTCTGTTGAAGGGCAAATCTGTCCGGGACACACCCTTTTGTAACCTCAAGTGCCTCGCCTCAGCCTCCAAACACCCGGCTCCTCCTCTCCCACCCCAGTCAGTGTCACTCGGTCCTACAAGTGGCTTGTGATCCTCATCAGCATCCTGATGCTCCTGGCTGTGGCTGGCATTGGGTGAGTGGCTCCTCTTGCTTTGTTGCCCCTAAGGACACACCCCCACTCTTTCACTGACCTGTCTCTCGCCCTTTTTCTTGCCCAGTGGTTACTTTTTCTGGCTCCAAAAGAAGAAGGCTGTTGAGGTACTAGGAAACACTCCCCTGTCTGGGGTGAGTAAGGCCTTGAGGCTCAGCTCTTGCCTGCTGGGTCTGGTGTGTGCAGATATTGGAAGCTGGGGCCCAGGACCCAGATAAGCAAAGTTCCTCAAGTCTCTTGTTCTCACCAGAGTGCCCCTGAAGAGCCACCTCCCCCCTCTGCCCTGAACACTGACCTGAACAAGCCAGCAGGGTAATAGCTTTGTCCTGGCCCCCGGGGTGGCTTTGGTCGGCGGGCGGGCGGGACTCGCAGTAGCAAGTCAGAGGGCCTGGGACTGCGTAGCAAAGTCCCATTTCTTTCCTCTTTGCAGGGAAGAGGCAGACAGTTACCTCCCTCAGGAAGTGAGCAGCACTCAGAACAGCAATCAGAACACATGGTATCTGACAGCTAATTCATCTCTGGCCCTGGTGACTATCCCTCACACAACGCACTCCTCCATGGGGCCAGGAGAGTTCTGAGTCCGGTGTTCTGTAGTTCTGCAGACAAGCCTCTCTGTCTCTCTGTCTCTGTCTCTTTGTCTCTCTCTCTCTGTCTCTCTGTCTGTCTCTCTCTTTCTCTTTCTCTCTCTTCCCTCCAAACACATATCCTTTTGTAAAATAGTTTTCATTAAAAAACATTTCTTCCTGTTTTTTTTCTGGAGATTGGGTTTTAGTAGATTTGGTAGTTAATCTCTGTTGTCAACTTGACTGCATTTAAATCACCCAGGAACCCTCTGTCAACAGTGACAGCCCTAGGCCTGCAAGTGACTTTCTTTGTGTGGGTGGAGGCAGGGGGACTTTTTAAAATCGTGTTGTGCCGACTAGTTTTATGTCAACTTACAACAAGCTAGAATCCTTTTAGAAGAAGAAACCTCAATTGAGAAAATGCCCCATCCAGACTGGCCTGTGGGCAAGCCTGTGGTACCTTTTCTTGACTGGAGATGTGTAGCTAGAGTTTCCCTGCCTGGCCCACAGCCGCTCAAACCCGACCAAGTAAACACAGAGACTTATATTGATTACAAACTGTATGGCCGTGGCAGGCTTCTTGCTAACTGTTCTTTCAGCTTAAATTAATCCATTTCCATTAATCTATACCTTGCCACATGGCTCGTGGCTTACCGGCATCTTCAGATGCTGTTTCTCATCATGGCGGCTGGCAGTGTCTCTCTCACCCAGCTTCCTGTTCTCTCAATTCTCCTCTCTGTTAGTCCCGCCTATACTTCCTGCCTGGCCACTGACCAATCAGTGATTTATTTATTGACCAATCAGCAACACATTTGACATACAGACCATCCCACAGCAGAGATGTGGGAGACCACAGCTCACTGTGGGCACTACCACCTCTGAGCTGGTGGTCCCGGGTGCTGTAAGAAACCAGCTGAGAAATCCATGAGGAACAAGCCGGTAAGCAGTGTTTTTCCATGACTTCCGCTTCAGTTCCTGCCCCCAGGTCCCTGCCGTGAGTTCCTGCCCTGCTTCCTTCAGTGATGGACTAAGATGTGGAAGTGCAAGATAAAATGGACCCTTTCCTTCCCAAGCTGCTTTTGGTAATGGTGTATTATCACAGTAATGGAAATCCAAGACGCATGTCGTCTCAGCTTGCTCTGGCATCTATTTCTATTGTTGGCCTTGAATTCCTTGTGTGTTTTTGAAAAGTATGAAAATGAATTCAAAACTGAATTACGTTAATGTGGTACCTGGCACAAGTCACTCCAGTCTGCTTTGGTCTGGACTATGGGGCTTGCTGTAGCAGCTGAACAGAAAACAATGTCTTTCCACAGTGTTATCTAACACCCTCTTGTTTAGCACAACCTTCCCGGTTCTCGCACTGTGTCCTCTCTAGACTACCAGAAACAGGCACCATGAAAGTGAGAAGCAGAACGGAAGCACTTAGACTCTGGCTCCTAGACTCTGGCTCCCAACTCCAAAGGAACTAAGGACATTCAAATGACCATATCTTATATGCAAATACAGTCAGTACAGTGTAATGAAGGAAATGGGTGGTGAGAAATGCATCATGGGTTATCTCATCACTATGTGCACCACACAAAGGGTAACCCCTTCTAAGGTGGGTGCAGCGTCACCAAGTATGATAAGCTTAGGAGACTTGTATTGCCCATATGCAGGCTAGCATGGACTGACATGCTGAATGATGCAGTGCCCCACGGCTGCGGTTTCAGTGTGCAGGATCCCTCACAGTGTTTAAACACCTGGTTCCCAGCCGTTAGCACTGTCTGGGAAGGCGGTAGAATGTTTAAGAGGTGGAGTGTCATTGGAGGAACTAGGTCACCAGAAGCAGGACTTGAGGCTTTCTAGCCCAACCCCACTTCCTGTTCACGCTCAGCTTCCTGGCTGTGAGTGCAGTGGGACTAACCTGCATGTTGCTGCTGCCTCCATGCCTTCCCCGAGAGGCTGGAAGGTCCCTGTCGAACTGGAAGCCAGAATAAACCCCTCCCTGCTTTAAATGACATCTTATCAGATCTTTGGTCACAGCATCAAAAAAAAAAAAGCTGAATACAACCACTAATATCATAAATCAATTTACAGTGTTTGAACTTTGAATAATATAATTACAGTGTCACGCTATTGTGTCTGACTTCGTTTTTCTTAATATTATAGTTTGAAAATCTAATACTCATAGTATACATAAGTATCTTTAATGTGTTCATTTTTGTCAATTTATACTATTTCATCGTCTATTTGCTTATCATTTCTATTGATGATGGACAATTAAGGTATTGCTAGTTTGGTGTAAAAGAATTTCTAAATGGTCTTATTAAATAAGAAACATGGAGCCAAATATAGGGGTGAAAACCTTAAATCAGGGAAATAGGGAAAGCCACCAGCCAACCTCACCTCACCAACTCTGCAGCTTCCAAATGCAAGTTACTTCCTGTCTGCCCACGCCTTTATTGCCTTGCTGTTCCACCCTCTGATTGGCTCTTAGCCCAGCAACCTCATTTCTTCTTCCTACACAGCTCTGTCACTTTCTGTCTGTCTGTACAGACCTCCAGGCCTCTATGGTTGGTACTGGGATTAAAGGCATGTGTCACCACACTTGGCTGTGTTCCCTAGTGTGGCTTTGAACACACAGAGATCCTGCCTGTTAAGTGATAGGATTAAGGGCGTGTGCTGCCTGACTTCTTTGTTTACTTAAAATGGCAGGCCTTTTCCCCCTGATCTCCTGGCAAGCTTTATTTATTAATGCACAAATAAAATATAACCACAGTTTGGGGTTATTTTCACATTTTAATATGTATTCTACTTTGTACAAGTAAATATTCTTGTGTGGCACGTAGTCATGGGCTGCATAATGAGATTTTTAGTCAACAAAAGACCACATAAGGACGGTCCCACAACAGCATATCACTCAGTGGTGTCGTAGCTATTGTAGATTATGTAAATTCCCCCCGTGATGGTCACGCAAAGTCACCAAAGATCCACTTCTCAAAACATTGTGCCATTGCTAAGTGGTGTGTGATCATACTACACCATCTTTAGCTTTTTATCCTTGGTGTACATCTGGGTATATGGGGTGTGTGTGTGTGTGTGTGTGTGTGTGTGTGTGTGTAGGTTTTGGTTCTCACTTTGCACATTGTTGGGGAAGGGTGTCTTGCTGTTTAGCATTGTGTCAACGTGGCCAGCTGGCCTGAGCTTCTGGGAATTCTCTGGTCTCTGACCCCTTAAAAGCATGTCCTAGGTCTCTAAAACACCCAAAGGCTCTCGAAAATATGCAAAATCTCTGTCAAGTTCCAAAGTCTCTCTAAAATTCCAAAGTCTCTTTAAACTATCCAAGGTCTCATAACTGTAGGTTTCTGAAATTTTTCAAAAAGTTTAACACTTTCTTACTTCAGGAGGGAAGAACCAGGGCTTGGTTTTAAATGAATTCTGGAGATTCAAACTCATGTCCTCATACCTGTGAGAGGAGAGCCTTACCCATGAGCCCTTTCCCAGCCCCGGTACTTGAACATCTACAGATGTGGGGGCTCATGGGTTCCTCGAACCAAGCACTCGTTGAAACCAAGGGATAAACATACACAGTTTCAAAACAGGAATTAATTTCATTTTGTGTGTGTGTTTGTTTATATATGTGCATATGTCCATGTATGTGAGGTGTGCTTGTCGGGGATCGATGTGCATATGTGTGCATATCAAGGACTGTGACTCTCAACTATGAGGTATGTTTCTTGGAGGCAGCACAAAGATAGACCCTGCTTTCTGATCCAATTTGTTAGTTAGACAAACATCTCTTTACTGTGGAATTGGTGCCATTAATATTCAGAGTTATGATTGAAAATGTGTGTCATTTGCTTTTGTGGTATTTCATTCGACCCCTTCTGATTCAGTGTTCTGGAACTGCTTATTCATTCCTGTGTTGTCTCAAGTGTGTTTTACCGTCTTTTCAGTCCCAAGAATCCCTCCCGGTGTCTTCTGTAGAGCTGGTTTAATGGCCATAAATTCCTTTAACCTGTTTTTGTCATGGGAATTTTTCCTTTCCTTCTCAAATATGATTGACGGTTTTGTACAGTATAGTAGTCTGGGCTGATATATATGATCTTTCATAACTTGTAGATTATCAGTCCAATTCCTCTGACTTTTGTGGTCTCCACTGGAAAATCTGTTATTCTGATAGACCTTCCTTTGTATAGGACTTGGTCTTCCTCTCTTGCTGCTTTCAATTGCCTTTCTCTGTTCTCTACATTTAGTGCTTTGACTGTTATACAACATGGGGAGTTTCTTTCGGGATCCTCTCTATCTGATGCTCTGTATGCCTCTTGGATCTCTTGATAAGCAACTCTTCCCTTAGATTAGAGAAGTTTTCTTCTATAATTTTGTTGAAAATATTTTCTGTGCCTTTGACCTGTATGCTGCCATTACCAGTTTTATTTTATTTTGGATTTTTTCTTCTCTTTATTCAATTCTATTTTCATATCTTGAATTATTTTTGCTGTTTTATTCAAGTGCCCATATTTCTGCAGTCTTCATTCTAGCATTTATTCATATCTTTACTGAGTTCTCCAATTGTGTTTGTTATTACTCTTTCGAAATCTTTGTCTTGGCTGGGCATGGTGGGTGGTTCCTGCCTTAATCCCAGCACTCGGGTGGCAGAGGCAGGCAGATCTCTGTGAGTTTGAGACCAGCTTGGCCAACACAGCCAGCTCCAGGACATTCAGAGATGTACATGGAGAGATCCTGTCTCAAAATAAAATAAAATAAAATAGAAATAGAAATAGAAATCTTTGTCTTGTAAGTTACCTAAGTACATTTGTTTGGGAACAACTATGGGAGTACAAATTTTTGGTGGAGACATTGTTTTGATTATTCATGTTTATGTATTTGCAGTTGGTTATAGGCATCTGGAATGAGGCTGTTGATACTGTTTCTTGGTCTGGAGATCCTGCCTCTCTTTTGTTGAATAGCTGTTTAGAACCCTGTTTCCTGTGACCTCAACTTACCAGGTGGTTGACCAGCTAT